CTTGACACACGATAGCACAGTCATTACCTTACATGCGCATCAATACACAAGGTTTGAATATACCTAAACATTTAAAACTAGCCGACCCTCAGTTCTATGAACCCGCAGCAGTTGACATATTGCTAGGTGCAGACATATTTTGGCAAATAATTAGCAGCGGTCACATTCGATTAGGCAAAAACCAGCCTACTTTACAAGAAACTGAATTAGGCTGGCTAGTTTCCGGTTGCACAACAAACACCGACAAGCAAGCAAACAGTTGTTTTTTCAATAACAACAGCTCAGATCAGTTATCACGCTTCTGGGAGCTAGATAGTTTAACTAATACACAAGTAGACGATCCTTCCGACTCAGATGCATGCGAGATAATTTTCACTCAAACAACTATAAGACAAAGTGATGGTAGATTCGTTGTCACTATTCCATTTAAAAAGTCACCTGATTGTTTAGGTGACTCCTATTTTCAAGCAAAAAGACGGTTTTATTCCATAGAAAACCGCATGAATTCAAATCCCACATACAAACAACAGTACTCAAACTTCATAACAGAGTACATACAGCTAGGCCACATGTCTTTAAACAAACACTCACATCAAAATACATACATTAAATCAGAACATAAAACATCAAACCTACAGTCAGGTACCAGCACGAACACAAACACACAGCACTCACCAGTATACTACCTTCCACATCACGGTATTGTACGCGAGACCAGCACCACTACAAAATTCAGAGTAGTATTTGATGGTTCCGCAAAGACGTCCTCAAAACTATCACTCAACGACATTCAGTTAGTAGGACCTGTCGTCCAAGACGATCTTGTTTCTATACTCATACGGTTTCGACAACATAAGTTTATAATATCATCAGATATTGAGAAAATGTTCCGCCAGGTGATGCTGATGGAGCATCAGCGCCCAACACAACAAATCATATGGCGATACAATCCTACGGAACCTCTGCAAACATATACGCTCAACACTGTCACATATGGCACGGCATCGGCGCCGTATTTAGCAACACGCTGCATAAAACAAATAGGCTTAGATTGTAAAAACACACAGAATCATTCAGACAGCTATGATCACAAAATTGTCTCCGAGGTCATCTTGCATGATTTTTATTGTGATGATCTTTTGACAGGAACCGATGATGAGTCATTACTCTTTGAAATCGCCAAAGGTGTCTTTCTTGAATTAAAAAAAATATCAATTTCCACTAAGAAAATGGCAGTCTAATTGTCAAACTGTTCTACAACATCTGGGTTTCAATGATTCAAATGACACAACATTCAATCTGAGCTCAAATGATCCATCTAAAACACTAGGCATTTATTGGAACATTAACAAAGACACAATTTCATACACAGTACATTCAGAATTTGTATCACAAAAACAAATCACAAAACGCACAATCTTATCCACCATAGGTCATATTTTCGACCCACTGGGACTTATTAGCCCTTGCATACTCGAAGCTAAGCTAATTATGCAACAGATGTGGACAAACAACGTCAGCTGGGACGATGAAATACCGGTTTCAATACAACAACAATGGGCAAAGTTCATAGAATCGTTATCTTTTATAAATCATTTATCTATTCCTCGGCGAGCATTTAATGACTCATCGCGCGATTACATTGAACTGCATATTTTTTGCGACGCCTCACAACAGGCATACGGTGCATGCGCATATATACGTACTTATACATCAGATGGCAGTATCAGTGTTCAACTGTTAGTTGCCAAGGGACGGGTGGCTCCTTTAAAAGCACTTACCATACCGCGACTTGAATTATGTGCCGCGTTGACCGGTGTTAATTTAAGTAATAAGATATTGAACTCCGTTCGCAACAAAAATTGTAAGTGTTATTATTGGAGTGACTCAATGATTGTTTTATCTTGGATAAACTCACCTACACATAAATTACAAACATTCGTAAAACACAAAGTCACGGACATTCTCAAACATACTGAACCACAGACATGGCACTATGTACCAACTAAACAAAACCCAGCTGATATTATTACTAAATGTACCAATGCACAACAATTACTCCATACACCTTTATGGTTTTCAGGACCTGACTTTTTAAGGAATGATGATAAACACAGCTGGCCTCATCAACCAGGTCATCTCAGCGTATCTGACCTTCCAGAAGTCCGGTCTCAAACACATCTCACGCACAAACATGTAACTGATAACAATTCATTCATTTACAAATATTCTAATTTTAACAAACTTACACGAATCGTAGCTTACATTCTTCGGTTCATTCATTACTGCAAACACAAACAATCAAAATTAAATCAAATCAACATTAAAAAACGTCAACAGATGCTCATAGGTGACGTCATACCCTTATCTACTAGCGAACTTAATTCAGCTAGATACCAATTAGCGAAGTTAGTGCAACTAGATTTATTTTTTGAGGAATATCAATTATTATTACATAACAAACAATTACCTACATCACATAAGTTAAATTCACTTAATCCTTTCATAGGGGATGATAACCTCATTCGTGTGGGCGGAAGGTTAGCTCAATCGCCATACAATTACGATAGAAAATTTCCTATCCTATTGCATTCAGCTCATTACATAACTCAAATCATATTCTCAACATATCACATCACACTTCTACATGCTGGCCCACAATTGCTATTATCTCACATACGTCAAACATTCTGGCCAATTTCCGGTAGAAACTTGGCTAGAAAAACTACACAATCATGTGTTACATGCAAACGGTTTAAAGGTAAAACTGTAACACCTATCATGGGGCAATTACCTGAACAGAGATTGCATGCAAATTTTGTATTCAGTGACGTAGGTGTCGACTACGCAGGGCCAATTAGCTGTCATTGCAGCGGTAAGTCCCCTCTTTGAGGAGTGGCTTGAGAGACGCTACGGCGTCCTCACCTACCGCCTGACGCAGGTGCTTACCGGACACGGAAGTTTCGGTAGGTTCCTGTTTCGGATTGGGCGGGAGGAAACGCCCGGGTGTCATCACTGTGAGGATCGCCCGGAGGACACGGTGGAGCATACGGTGGCGGTGTGTCCTGCGTGGACTGAGCACCGCCGTGTCCTCAGGAATGTCATCGGCGACGGCGACCTCTCGCGTCCGGCTCTGGTTCAGACCATGGTACGGAGCGAGGGGGACTGGGATGCCGTCTCCTCCTTCTGCGAAGCAGTCATGCTAGCTAAGGAGGAGGCGGAGCGCGTGAGGGAACGAACCTCCTCACGACCCGGCCGTCGCGAGAGACACTCAGGGCGTCGGGGATTGCGAGACGATCTCCGGCCACCGTAAGCACGGGCCTGCGGACGGCGAGCATGGGTGACTCGCCGCCCGACCAGAACCAGGCCCGAGCGTACGGCGCGTCGCGTTCCGCGCGCGCCTCAAGGAGCCATCAGACCACCACAGATGGGGCCTAACAAGGCTGATGCCGATACGGAGCCGCGGAAGACTTAACGGGTTGCCGGGGCTCCGGCTCGAAGTGCAGGAGTAGGAACGGGGTGGTTTTTAGTCAGTAAGAGTCTGACACTCCCTCCCGCCTCACCCAGGCGGGTGAAGTCATTGGATGATTTTCCCCCCTCAAAAAAAAAAAAAAAAAAAGGGCCAATTATGATCAACAACCGTAAGGGGCGTGGAAGTGTACTTGTTAAATCATACATCTGCATTTTCATCTGTTTTGCCGTGAAAGCTGTGCATTTGGAATTGGTTACAGATCTAACGACAGAGTCTTACATAGCGGCAATTAACAGGTTTATTTCTCGCAGAGGTAAACCAAATAATATTTATTCAGACAATGGAAAAAATCTGGTAGGTGCCGCTCGTGTGGTGACCAACTTTCTTAGAAATCACGGTGAGTCAATTTACAGTTGCGCTGCAGAACAAGGTGTAAACTTTCATTTCATTCCTCCATATTCACCCCACTTCGGGGGCCTATGGGAAAGCACCATTAAATCAGTAAAACATCATCTCAAAAGAGTACTAGGGATGGCACACCTCACATATGAAGAAATGTACACGTTGCTAGTTCAAATAGAAGGCATCCTCAACTCAAGGCTCTCACACCTCTTTCATCCGATCCCAATGATCTCTCCGCTCTCACTCCCTTTCATTTTCTAATTGGTCGTACTCTAACTGTTCTACCTCATCCACAGATGTCCGACTGCGACACGGCACGGCTGCCGCGTCATCACTGAATCGAACTTCTACGCCAACATTTTTGGAGACGCTTTAATAAGGAATACATTTCTCAGTTGCATCAACGAACGCGCTGGCAACGTTCACGCGGCGCGCTTACAGAGGGCTCATTGATCATCGTGAAGGATGAGGCGCTACCGGTGGCTCAGTGGCCATTGGGACGTATCGTGAAGCTGTATCCGGGACATGACGGAGAGGCTCGAGTGGCGGACATCAAAGTAAAGACCGGGACAATCAGACGTGCCTTTCATAAAATATGCCCATTACTGGATGTACCATCGGACTGATAATGAAATATCATACATCATCATCACCTGGGCTGGCCTTTCCTTGGTCGCCCGGGAATATGTTAACGCACACGTTAACACGCACGCACATGCAGACACACATGCATCTCAAGCAGAGGGGAGCGGGCGGCGTGGCGGGGCAGCGACGGCTCGCGCGCCCTCCATACACACCTGACGACAACGCGAGCAAGAACGGACGGGATTGCGAATTTAATTTGTACTAATAGCCTACTTAAGAAAACCTATTAAACCAAGAAATACAGTCCACTCTTTTATTCCATCTGGGCCTATCTAAAACCTAAAGGAACTGAAGTATTTATATAAGAACATCATTTAGCAAGCGTTGCTATTGTATATAAATATTATACTCTGCATCTATAACCTAACAATAGGGACAGACAGACGGCAGACAGCGACTTTGTTTTATACTATGTAGTGAAAAGAAATTTACTTAATTAACAAAGTAGTTTTATTAAACTAGAGTCAATTATTTTTTCCAGGCTAAACTATCGAGTTCATGGAAAGCGCAAGCATTATTTAAAAAATTCGATGCTCGAGCCAACCACAAAGTGTACGCGAAGGGCAGAGCATGTGCAGCCGGCAAGGTGCTCATCATCGGTGCCGGACCATGCGGCCTTCGAGCAGCTATAGAATGTCAGCTCCTTGGTGCCAAAGTCGTAAGTACTATTACTTATTTTATATAGAAAAAATAATTTATCGAATTCTAAGTGTTGAGGTACATATTAGTTTTATTTGATAAATAGTAATTATTAGTTCATATAAAGACAGACAGACAACTTACTCCCTACGTATCTTTTTTGAGTTATTTGTCTTCAGAGGTTCCGTGTTCTAGGGTCCAGCCCCAGGGCCAGAGGATACAGCTCTTTGTTTAAAATACCGCGAGGGGACACGACTCTCAGTACACATTACCAAAATATGTAGTCAGTAATTTATTCAACAATAATGAACGCTACTACAGAATTTTTAACTGGCGCAAAACGTAGGAGGTTGTCCATACGACGCCCATATTTTGCATTTGCTTTATATTATTTATGCCTAAATTAATTATAAACGAATGGCTTTCTTAATTACACTGAGATATTAAACACTTGAACATATAATACTTCATTAAGTTCTTCAAAAGGCTCCTGAGTACTTCTCTTTATGAACGTAAGCCGGCCTAAAGCAACCACTGTGTCCAAGACATAAGTCTATAATGCTGTAAACACAATTCTTGTTTAAAAATACACAGAATGACAAAGCTGCAAACAGCTAAAATTACTGAAAACAACTGCATAATTGTTTTGAGTTTTGACCCGCATCGGATGCAGATGTGCCTACACTGGTGTCCATACATTGTAGATTAGTGCGTAACATTGGTCTTTAGTGGTCGCACTTATGATTACTTAGAAGAAAGTCTTATCTTTCTATCATGGATACAGTTAAACTGGTAAGTGCTATTTAGTTCTTTGTTCATTCTTGATTTATGGACCTTCTATTTCAAGGTGTTGAGGAGCTAGTGGCTCTGATGTCAGGGTTTTTTTTAATGGCATAAGCCGGTAAACAAGACGGATCATGCTGCTAAGCAATCGGCGCTGCCTAAAAGACCAAGGCGTTACAGGTGCGTTACCAGCCTTTGGGGATTCGGGATTCGGGGATTGGGGGGCATTGGGCCTCCGGTAACCTCTCTCACACGACGAAACACAACGCGAGCGTTATTTCATTTCGGTTTTCTGTGAGGCCGTGGTATCACTCCGTCGAGCCGGCCCATTCGTGCCGAAGCATGGCTGTCTCACACTTCACAGACACTAGGTCTTATTTTTACATTAAGAGAATCCTACGTTCTAAATAACAATAATTGTAACAGATTATAGAACACTTTTTTGTTACAACACAATAATAAATTTGTTGAAGTGAATGTGTCTGGAAAAACATTATTCTCTTGATTTATTGAAGTACATGCATTGTAAAAAATGACAATGAACTTTATTTATGATAACTCACAATGATTTATTAACTGTTTTATGTAAGGCATTATTATATACAAGATATTATAGAATATAGACATTATATAAATTATTATGTACTTACATTAAGTATCTATAAATGATCACGATGAGACCAGAGTATGCAGAAAAAGCAAAAGCAAACTTGATTCAATAAAATGTGATATCACGTCATTTTCTAGTGTTACTTGTAATTAAATATTCGTGTATGATGGACACTACATATCATGGCCATTGGTTTCGAAATTATTTAGTGGCAGAATATTCCAAGAGTCGCTAGAGAGGAATAATGTCTGGCAACAATTTGTAGATCACAGAGAATTGAATTACTTGTTCCGTCCGCGAATTAAACACGCGACGGTTCGCCTTACTACTACGCTAATAGGTTTCTAGTCGTACTTCGTAGGACTTATTCAGGAAACCAATAAAGTCAGTTTGAGCATTTCGCTCAAACCTTTGGCTACCAAAATATGCGATGACCAGAGATACCTGGTTGACATAAATAAGTTGTAGTAAAATGATTATTAGAATAGAAGCTGTTCACGCATCTAACGTGTGGACCACAGCGGCGGGAGGCGCGGCGGGCGGGGGACGCACACAGCTGATCGGGCGCACCGCCGCCGCACCCCGATCGGCTCGCCTACAGATTTGGTCAGCGACAGACGTGTCGTGCGCTCAGAAATATTATATATTTTAATCGATCTGTATTAAAGTAATTATTTTTCTAAAGCGAGTCGTTCATTATTAAAATCCTAAACAGAAGCTGGTTATTACAATAATTATTTATTATAATAAATTATTACCTATCGACTAACTCGTGGAATCTTAGCACCTAGTATCAGTAAATGAGCTAGACCTAGCCCCCAAGTCCCATGCGTATGGATTATTAAATCTTCTAACGGTTTAACGTTGGCATAAGGTTCGATTCCCACGAGAAAAAGCTCGTCTGTTGTCTGTGATTACACAAATGGTTCTTCATGAAACCCTATAACGTAACCTTGCAACCACGGAGTTCTTAAATTGCAAACGCAAATTATATGCGTCCACGAAAGTATACGCGCGTTAACGCACGCTTAAAATGAATGTTTGGTGACACAAGCATGAATTCACGGTATTTTTTATGACATAAGCCGGTAAACAATTTTTTTCGGCCCATTCGTGCCGAAGCATGGCTCTCCCACACTAAAAATCGATATGAATCCGGCGATAGATTTGCTCATATTATATGAGACTAGTAATATCTCCGACGGAAAGTGGGTATTATTAGACTTGGGTATGTTTGTATCATGTGACACAGCCCGTGGCAGCCCATTGCTGGCCTATGGGGTATATCGCAGATCGTAGTTAAAAGGTCGAAACTTATCAGCGACCGCTGCTACCCAGCATTAAGGATCCCGCCCCATGGTCAAGTCATGTCTGTACATTAACAATATTATTTCATTTTGTTACAGGTCGTGATCGAGAAACGCGACAGAATGTCTCGAAACAACGTGCTGCATCTATGGCCGTTCGTGATACAAGATTTGAGGGCGCTCGGCGCAAAGAAATTTTTCGGAAAATTCTGCGCTGGCTCTATAGACCATATCAGTATCAGGCAGCTACAGTGTATACTTATGAAGGTGACTATTCAATTTTATTTTAATTCCTGCATTTTTATATTCATATCGTTGTGTGGTACTGCTATTCCTTCACTTAGCTACTCAGTGATGTGTTTCTCGAAAACTTTGTCTATCCTCTAATGCATACAAGAACAAAAGAATTAACTGAATTGGTCCAGCCGTTTTGGAGGTTTTTTGAGCTTAACAACACGGATATAGTTCCCTTTATTCATTACAATATTGAACGTCAGTGCGGTTTCATTGTTTTAATTGGTTCTATTATTCTAGGTGGCGTTGTTACTAGGAGTAGAGTTACACGAAGGAGTCAGTTTTGAAGAATTATTAGAACCCAGGGTCGAGAATTCCGAAAGTAAGTATTTACTGTTTCGCAGAAGCTAATTGAATTTGACCTCTACGAAGCACATTCTATTTAAGTCTTTAATAATAGTTAAAGAAAGAAAATAAGCTAAATGCAAACGATACTCAACCATAAAATTTCGATATGAACAGCTCAAGCTATTACAAATCATATGTGTTACATTTTAAACTTGTAAAACTAATTTAACAAATGTACTCAGAGACATGTAACAATTACATAAACTATGCCTTAATGACGATTTAGTTCCGAAAATAATGGTTTAGGACTGGGTTAAGTGAACAGGGCCTATGCCGATTCGGAGTCGCGGAGAACATAACGGGTAACCGGGGCTCCGGTTCGACGTGCAGGAGAAGGAACGGGGTGGTTTTTAGTCAGCAAGAGTCTGACACTCCCTCCCGCCTCACTCGGGCGGGAGAAGTCATTGGATGATTTTCCCCCCTTAATAAACGACTGGGTTAAGTAACTATCAAATATTGAACTGTCGTGGTGACCCGGAGGTTTAGGTTTAAGACGCCCACTTTTCATGCACGAGGCTGCGGGTCCTAAACCTATCAACGGGAAGTACCAATGTGACTTTTTCCGAGTTATATGTAGATACTTTTAAGATTATTCAGACATCACTGACAAACGGTGAAGGAAAATATCGTGAGGAAACACACATAACATCACTCTTTTTATCCTCGAAGGGCTAGGCAGAGGTGCACATTATGTCACTGTACAATGTAACACCCACTTTTCACTGTTAATGTTATAAGCCCCATGTAATAGGGGGTGAGCCTATTGCCATTTACTGGGCACAGTTCCAGACTCCATGCTACTACTGAGATTTTTTTTAAAACCCAGTAATACTTTGCTCGACCCGGGAATGGAACCCGAGACCTCTTGCCCAGCAGTCGCACTTGCGACCACTCGGCCAACGAGGCAGTCACGTGAGGAAACCTGGGCTTTTAATTTCTAATTATAAGTTTGAAATCGCCAATGCGCATTGAGCAAGCGTGATGATTAATGCTCTAACCTTCTCCGTGTGAGGAGAGGCTTTTGCTGAGCAGTGGGCCATTCTAGGCTGTTGTTGTATGTATGTAATTATTAAATGTCTCGGAGTTAGTGTCATTTTCTCTCTGCAGTGTGTCACTGCTGTGTCATGTTATATAGTTAACGTAACACGTATATTTGTTACACAGCACTGGGTTGGAGAGCGCGCGTCCTGCCGTCAGACCATGTTGTATCTCAGTACGAGTTCGACGTGCTCCTGGGCGCTGACGGCAAGAGGAACACGCTGCAAGGGTTCAAACGAAAGGAGTTTAGAGGGAAGCTGGCTATGGCCATCACCGCCAACTTCATTAATAGGCATACAGAGCAGGAAGCATCGGTTTGTAGAAAGAAAAAGCATTTATTTAACAGTACCATTGTGTCCTACCATTTTGTCATTGCACGGGGTAAAGGCAGCGACTGATGGTATGCGATTAGCACCGCCCATGGATACTCGCAACACCTGAGGTCTTAGTAAGAGTTTGTTTTACGTTTAAAGTATTCGTAAAGAGTACGCGTTCGGCGCACTGATTGGCCGGAGCCAATGAACCAACCAATCAGAGCGCCGAACGCGTACTCGTAGCTCAGAAGAACAAGTGCTTTGCCGGCCTATTAGGTATAAGTATTTGTAGAAGAAATTTTTCAATTTTGTAGTCCGTGCACTATCTATTCTTGAGAATTTTAAATAACAAAAAGTTCTAATCTTACATAGTAGGTATCGCCACTTGACTAAAGAGTTATGTAGATATTAATAAGAATTGCAACAATTCTCATGAATTGTTTTTTATGGAATAACCCGGTAAACGAGCAGACAGATCACCTGATGGTAAGCAATCGCCGCCGCCTATAGACACCCGAAACAACAGGGGTGTTACAATTGCGTTACCGGCCTTTTGGGGATTGGGAATTTGAGGATTGTTGGGGATTCGGGGATTGGGTAGATTGGGGAAGGGGGTAACTGGATCTCCGGTAACCTCACTCACACGATGAAACACTACGCAGTTGTTATTTCACGATTTTCTGTGAGGCCGTGGTATCGCTTCGGTCGAGCCCGCCCATTCGGCAAAAACGACACAACTGGAATGTTAAAAAAGGACATACAAATTGTAACTCCGATATAACGATTTAACTGAGCTGAAAGTCCAGTTCCAGTGCATATAATATCATCATCAGCTGGATGACCTTCGCACCTTCTGAACAAGAACATCATGTTTAGTCTTCGACACTCATCGCTTCCACTTGCATGCAATGACTCCCCGCGACTTTGATGATACTGCGCTTTAGTACCTATGATTTAAAGTATATTTTTACATAAACTTATAATTCTGTTAACCAGGTACCAGAAATAAGCGGAGTAGCGTTCATATTCAACCAGAAGTTCTTCAAGGAGTTGTATGAAGTGACAGGCATAGATCTGGAGAACATAGTGTACTACAAGGACGACACACATTACTTTGTCATGACAGCTAAGAAACACAGCTTACTAGACAAGGGGGTTCTACTAAACGTAAGTATCGAGCTTTTATTGTGGCTCTCCATTGTCCTATAAGTAACCTAACGTCACGTCTTTTATCCCCGAATGGGTAGGCAGAGGTGCACATTATGCCACTGTACACTGTAACTCCCACTTTTCACTATTTATGTTGAGTCCCATGTAATAGGGGGTGAGCCTATTTCCATATACACGGCACAATTCCAAACTCCGTGCTACTACTGAGGATATTTTTAAAAACCCAGTAATACTTTGCCCGACCCGGGAATTGATCCCGATACCCCTTGCCCGGCAGTCGCATTTGCGACCGCTCTGCCAACGAGGCAGTACGCTATAAGTATAAGAAGAAATTGAATGTCTTGATACCAAGTCCAATACATCCAGATTTATTCAGTGGTGAATTTAAACATTTTCTTTTGCTAGTTATGTTACCTTTGTCACTGTCACTAGTACAGTGGGCAACAGGTCAACCTACTCTTTGCTGTCAAATTTCTTTATTGGATTTTCAACTCTATTCACTATTAAATAAAGTCAAAAATCCATTGACACATTGAGCAGGTACGCAGGTATATGTGCTGGCCACAACGATAAAACAGTAAAAATTCAATGGATTCTCAACCTTTAAGTTTTGTATTAAGGTTGAATCGAGAATCTTAACAAAACATTACTAATAAGCTTTCTTTTACAGGACTATAATGAAGTATCACGTCTATTAAGCGTAGAGAACGTGGACCGCGCGGCTTTGATGCGTTACGCGCAAGAAGCCGCGCGGTTCTCCACGGACGGCCGCCTGCCACTGCGGGACTTCGCTCTCAACCACTACGGGGAGCCCGATGTAGCGCTCTTCGACTTTACCTCTATGTATGCCGCTGAAAACGCCAGCATGGTGAGACAAATCTTATTGCCATTTCGCGCTATTAACCCTTGAGTACCGTCATAATAGACCAATTAAAGAACAATAGGTTGCGGTCACCGGTGTTGTCGCGGTGTTTGACAGTTTAATATAATATAATTTATTCGTAAATTCAACTTGCTTAATAAAATTAAAACATTGGCGTGCAACGGTCAAGTATCGAAATATTAAAGCACTTCACTCAGAACTCACCGCTATCAGTAACCTAACGTAACTGCTGCCCTGTATTTCACGAAGACTAGGATTTGGGAGTCTTTCAAATCATGATTGAATACATTTTTTGTATAGCACGCCTACAAACCATTTATCCACGCATCAGTTGTTAACTGAGATTCTTTAGATACAGTAATGACCGAAGTATAGCGCTTAAGTATAGTTTTGTCTCTACAAATTCTTTGTAAAATGACAGAGATGCCACGATACTTAAGTACAACTTAAAATGAGTATTCAGGCGTCAGAGATCTACTTGATAACGATTTATATTGACAAACGAGAATTAGACATGCGATTAAATCCGTAAATTCTGTGCATATTGATATTATAACACACTTCAATTAATTCTAGAAAGCCGTTGATATAATAAAATGGACTTTATTGTGCAGGTATACGAGCGTCACGGTCGGCGCTTGCTATGTCAGCTGGTTGGAGACAGTTTGCTCGAGCCGTTCTGGCCAACTGGCTCGGGTTGTGCTCGAGGGTTCCTGTCGGCGCTAGACGCTGCCTGGGCCGTCAGAGCGTGGGGCCAGAGTCCAGCACCACACCCACTCGAAGTTATAGCCGAGAGAGAGTCTATTTACAGACTTCTAGGTAAGTTCCTATATAGAGCTTCATCAGTATCATAGCAGTCTCAAAGACCTCCAGTTTGGCTGGTTGTAACCGACCACTATTACTGCCGTCTGTCTTTTTATCTAACATCAGTACGCTAATTGCGTATACAATTTTTTTGTAGTATTTCAAAGATTCAAACATAAAAGTTACAAATTTATCCCGTCTACCCTCGGATCTATCTGCATGCACCAATCCAAATATAGCCCGTATACAATATCTTAATAATACTCTGAAACGGAATTATTCCTTCCCAAAATAAGTATGTATGTGGTTTCGATTTTGCAAAAATAGATTAACCTCTGATATGTCGGAGCGTAGTATGCGAGACACAATTCACACAGACGTTTTCTATTGTGTCTTAAATACCGACATACAAGAGGTTAATAGTAAATAGTGATAGAGGTTTGGATGATGACACCATCGTAAACCGCACGCAAGAAGTATACTTATGTAAAAAGCTGTACTTTAACCTTTTGAGCGTCAATGACACATATACGTGACAAGCGAAAACTGTCCCTGGACGCCAACGACACAAATATATTACAGAAAAAGCAGAACCGGAAACACGTAATCAACAATTTGATTCCCTATTGGAATCCCTATTTCTTTCGTAGAAATTTGCGCGGCATTTGTAGCTTGGCGTTGAGGGCAGGTTCATGTATTTTTACTCTGGTGTTCAAAAGACCATGTCCATGACCATGACATTTAACCTTGGTCTGGACCAAGGCTCGGTACTAATATTTACTGTCTCTGTATAAAATCAATCTTTATATTTTTACCTGTATATCGAATAACTTGGCTGCCTGTTCATCATTTACAATCACCGCATGATAGGATATGAGAGGAGATTGCCTCGAAACAGGAGGTTAGACACGGAATGAAGCGGAAATTGCAACACAAATATAATTATTGTATGCATCTTATACGTATGGGAAATGAAGTTCCGTTTACTTGTGTGACTACACATGTAATCCTTACTATCTAAGGGCTTGCCACGAGTCTGTTTTACGTTCAACGATATCCAAACGATACCGCGTTTGTCGATTTGATGTTCTCATCTTGTCATAACTATATCTATTGTTCAGTCAATTTTAAACTGTCAAACACCAAGCGGTCACCGGTGACCGCGACCTATTGTTCTTTAATTGTGTCTATAAAACCGGTACTCGACGAGTTAATGCAGACCTTTGTCTAAATTAAATAATATATTAGTTGGTAGTTTTAAACATTTGGTATAATATTTGACCTACGAAACTGCAATTAATTTTCAACCTTATCACGAAGTACTAAACTCCAATCTTGTTTTCAGCTCAAACGACCCCGGAGAATTTGCATCGTGACTTTGGCGCGTACACACTAGACCCGGGTACCCGCTATCCGAACTTGAACCGGGCTGCAGTGACGCCACACCGCGTCACTTCTTTCTACGACTCTGACGAACCGCTTCCATTAGACGCCGCTCCAAGCGCTAGGAAGAGACGGAGAGGTAAGTTTTATGCTGCATCCACACTCTCGCGTGAGTCGAGACGAGGCCGAGATACATTACAGTCTTATAATGCGAGAAGGACTACAACTCATCTATAATAATGTCAATGTATCTCGGCCTCGTCTCGACTCACGCGAGAGTGGATGCAGCATTATGGTTCCACTGTAACTGCACTCGCCGGCTGCTTGGCTTCTATTGGTCATAGTGTAATGTTTTATATCCTACTAGCTTCTACCGGCGACTTACACGCAATCCCGTTTTTTTCCGTTCCAGTTCGTGATTTTTGGTAAAAAGTAAAAAACACAAAGTATTGGACAGAAAGTATCGTATGTGAGTCTCCTGGTTCTAAGCTACCTTCCCACCAATTTTCATTCATATCGATGTAGCCGTTCTTAAGTTATAATAGTGTAACTAACACGACTTTCTTTTATATATATATAGATATAGCCTTCTTCGATAAATGGACTACCAAACACTATGAAACAGTAGTTTCGGAGATTAAAGCGTTCAAACAAACTAATTCTTCAGCTTTATATATAGATCAAAATAGAATAGATAGATAATCACAATAGTTTGTTGTTTGCCACAGAACGTTGGAAACTACGACGCGATCTTCTGATAACCTCATAGTTGCATGTGACTTATATTCTTACACTGCAACAATGTATTGTCGCCTTCAAATTAGATTTAGATATACAAATATTGCCAGGCTTTAAAATTCAATTGAGGAAATGCGTGTTTTTTATGTTTATTTTATAAATAGGGCCTTTTTCCTTCAGCCCCATGATCGAGTACCAAATTAAAACCTAAGTACATTGTACAATGAAGTGTGTCTGTGTGTGTGTGTATAATAATTAAAGAAACATAGAAAATCTTTGGTTTGCGATTCCAGTCTGCTTTCTACACAATTACTTTGAAAATTAACGATTAATTTTGAAAGTGAAGTTGTAAGAACGGCTATCAGTATTATCTTCTACTACAGCCCAAACCGAAGAATTTATAGCAATATTTAAATATTAATAATTTATCAACAGAGGCAGAAGTATCAGAAGAGGCGCTCGTGTCGTGGGTGGCGTGGACGGAACCAGGTATCAGAGCGGCGTCGAGTCCCGCGGCGCTCACTGAGCTACTGCGCCGCTACCGACCAGACTTGCTACCCTCGTCCACTGTACCGAGAGCTGTATATCATATTCTGCAGCAGGAGTTCGGTGAGAAAAATTTGTATTACTAGACTAGTTGTTGATTGTCAATTCCCTCACGTAACAACTCTTTATGTGATCCACGAATCTGTTGTTTCAAGTCTGGGTGTCATGTGTATGTAAATTGTATGTTTGTAAACAATCCTAGTGTGGGGCAATGTTTGACAAAATCACACAAATACCAAAAGTTCCTGAATATCATAAAATTCCAATGTTTCAACATGTTCTGGTGTGTGACTATGAATAACTTACCTAATAGTTTCTAGAGCCTTTAAAATTGTATTTAGAACTGTTATTCTGACAACATCGGAGTAGAAAGTTTATCAATATGGTATTGTGTCTCTTGATCTGTTCCATGAACATAATTTGGTAGCATTTTCGTCGTTGTGTGTGTGCTGTTAATATTCAGAATTCGTCCTACATTTATAAACAAAAATACCTCTAAAACAACACGTAACATTATAAGTATCTTTGACAATGACAATCATATAATATTTATAATGATTTTATTCGTTGTCTTTGAAATAATTAACTTTAAAATTGACAAAGATTAATGAAGACCTTGCACAACGATGTTCTATAAGTTCTTCATTAATCTTTGTCAATTTTAAACTAACTACTTTCTTCCTACAATCTACCCCATCAGCCGTCAATCAACAATCAACTTAAAGCACAATCATATAAAACTTATATTTACATTGCAGGTATAGCGCCTTTCTCATCCGGCGGTTCGTTACGCGACGTGCCCGATGCGAAGCTACGTTCGTACCTGACCCGCGTGTACTACGCCTTCAAAGGAGAAGTACCACACGTGCACCACGAGACCGATGTGTTTGATCAGGTAATAGTTGTCACACATATGTACATCAGTGACAGAGACTAGATAGGTAAAGTTAATCCTATTAATATTACAATAAGTGCGAAACTTGAATGGTGTTTCCTCAATTACGTCGAAATAGCTGGAGGGATCGGGATGTTTGGAACAGAGTTCAAAAGTTGGAAATTCTCAAATAAAACATAGGCTACGTGTAAGATAATGAAGCCGCGTGCAGAAGAATAGAATTAGAATAAATCTTTGCCTCTGAAATTACCGTTAATGTATGAAAGAAACGATTGTTAAATTGTTGGAATGTACCAGGTTTTATGTTAGATGAAAATAAAATTAAATGTAGCTGTATGTGAGAATATAAATTATGGAAGCGGCTACACCTGTTTTATTTGTTCTTGTTTCTTTTTTAAGTAGATTACAAAGAAACACTTTTACACGTCAATCTTTATATTAGAAGAAACGCCGAAATAAACTCAGAGGTCTCTTTTAAAGTCCAGACAGATTATAACTATAATGACTGCCTCGTTGGCCGAGTGGTCGCAAGTGCGATTACCGGGCAAGGGGTGACGGGTTCGATTCCCGGGTCGGGCAAAGTATTACTGGGTTTTTAAAGAATAATCTCAGTAGTAGCACGGAGTCTAGAATTGTGCCCGGTATATGGTAATAGGCTAACCCCCTATTACACGGGACTCATAACATAAATAGTGAAAAGTGGGTGTTACATTGTACACCTCTGCCTACCCCTTCCGGGATAAAAGGCGTGATGTTATGTTATATGTGAGAACCGTGCAAGTTGATACTGTAGTGGTCTTTTGAGGAAAGATCGGCAACAGTTTGAGCGGACCTGTTCTCAGTTCCCGTGGGAAACACGTAGCCTAGGTGTTGTTCATGGAGGACCATAATCTACGCCTGTTCCAAATTGCATCTCGATCCATTCAGCTGATTTGAACTGAAGGAGTCATATACCAAACAAAAACTTTCGCTTTTGTAATACATATTCGTAAGACATTGAGTCAAGTAGGAAATAGGTGTGAAACAAAATATAATAAAATATCACTCTCAAACAATTGGGTACTTGCCAACTAGTCAAAATCAATACTTTTCCGAACTATCAAAAACGACACTTTTCTATGAGATTGTGTATTGTGACGTCACGTTTTTTTAGCGTCAAACAGCATACTTATTTCTTAAAAATTTGCGGGAAATATACTATAATTTAGTGGGTAATAATTCTCAATTAATGAAAGTGTGTTTATTTTTTAATATTTTATTGTATTGAACAGTCGAAATAATTTATTTTTGATTAAGGCTAGTACCCAATTGGAAAGGTGATGCGATGAGGTCAGACGATGCGATGAAAATGTCTATTCTAAAACCTATTTTAATTGTATACTACCAATTACTTCGGTAATATATTTTTATTTAGTACAGTCACGAACATGAAGATTGTACTAAGGATGTTGAAAGAAATAAATAATAATACAAAATTGTTACAAATATTTCTAATCAATGTGCGGTGAGGTCTATCTGTTTAAGACTTATTTTAATAAAGTTCCTGTAAAATAATAATATATCTAAATACTGCCATATTTGTTCCTTATGATTTAGATTAAGAAAAGTTAATCAATAAAGTATTTTCCGTTTTATATTGATTTTATTATGTTAACATATCATTAATATTTTTTTAGTTTTTAAATCAAAGCTCAACGAACTCGCTATGCTCAGCACTTATAGTAAAGTCAAACTTACTAGTCCTGATATAATGATAATATTTTTACACACTATTTTCCTGACACTGAACTGCCATTAGGCTAATACTAACCTTACAAGTACAATGTTATATAATGTACCGCTGTATGTTGCTAGATCAAACAAAGCATGCAGAAAGAGAAACACGTTCGCAACATAGAACATCCTGTATCTGTATACACAAGTAAGTGCAACTCTTTGTTATTTGCTTTACTCTTCAAGTACTTGTAGCCTGTAGCGTAGTTCAAGGCGGCCTGACACGCCAACATTACCGTTGTTACTCAGTACTCCCAATGTCAAGGCTGAATACTAAATATATACTCGTGTACTGAGCTACGATCCGCAGTTGTAATTTGTCTATCCATCACGCAATTCGTCTATTTAATTTCAATTCAATAATTTGTTGTAATCTCTCCCACAGACGCGGCCGACGCCGACAAATCTCACTCGAGCTACAGAAAGAAACGGCGCTCGGTGCGTCCCCAACAAGTAAGTAACGATCCCGCCGAGTACATTCGCAAAAAGATCGGCAAATTAGACCTTAACGACATCACACAGCTCGCACGCCTCATCGAGGGCCACGATGCCGTCACCGACACCGACACACAGACAGACAAACAGAAAGATTTACAGGAACAAATACTAGCACTCCTCGACCCCGACGAGTCACCCGATCCGAAGGTGCTCAGGCAGTCTCTAGCGCAGCTTCTGCAGGGCTCCACCAAGGTCAGGGTTCAGGAACCGACACAATTAGCGCATTTCTTTCAAGAAGAAGGTGCTAAACCCGTGAAGCCTCCGCGGAGGCTGAAGGGTCTCGACATCAACAGCATGCGAATACCAGATTTGTCAATGTTCGACGATTCCCCCGACACCGACGCCACAGTCGTCAAAGTGGAAACTAAGAAGACTTTCAGTAGGTCGCTGTCGATGGAAAGCGCCAAAAAACTACAATATCCGTCTTCTTCTTCTCTTGATGGTGGAAAGAAGTTTACCAGGTCTTCTGAAAGCCCACTACCACAGAAAGGTAGGAGATTGTCAGATGTTGTAAATACTAGTAGAATCAGGCATTCGCAGAGTCCTGAAGTGAAGGTGCCTTACAAGAGATCCAACTCGATAGGATCATCTGAAATAGCGAATACTAAGCGAATCGCTCAGTTGTTCGAGGGCCACAAGCGACGACACACACCAAGCCCGGAGTCCCGATCTGTGCGTTCCGGTTCAACTACAAACCCTGAGATGGCACTACGCTTACAACGTATGACAGAAATCATCGAGGGCAAGCGGCGAGACACTCCAAGTCCCGACAGACGGGACAAGAAAGAATCTATCGGCACCCCAGAGATGGCAGTGCGGCGCCAGAGGGTGGTGGACCTCATCAAGCAGGGACAAGGATTAGGCCAGGAACATAAACAACGGCAGCCTCCAGATATACCACAACGCCGAAACAGCGACGAGATGACATTTAGGATGCAGAGGGCTTCAGATATGATGCAGAAACGTAGTGCCGAGTCGAAGAGACCTAAAACGGGTCGACGCAAGGCCGCGCGGGAGATCATGAAACAGCGTTTTGAGAAGAGTCTGCAGATGTTGGCTGCAGAGCGTCGTCTGGACTTTGTTCCGTCTGCCGACCTGGAGAACGACTACGGGTTGCAGCAGTACCGCGCCAGCGCGCCGGACTTCGACGAGAGAGTCAAGAAGCTGGAGAAGAAGCTGCAGCACTATGTGAGGCGATTGCCGTTGTGTGTCGCATGGAATGATCCGTTGGCCGGGCACGGGCGGTTGATAGCCTACTGATTTTTGAATACTTTATTGAAACTATAAAGTAAAACTAAAACTACCGTAAAATGGGGTGAATAGGGATCGAGAGGTGAATAGGGACAGAAGATGGGTGAATAGATGTAAGGAAATTCTTCATAGTATCGATTCACCCCTCTTCTGTCTCTTTTCGCCGTTCAAACCCTATTCACCTCATTTTACCGTTATTCTATGAATGCAAGTGAGACTATACTCGTTCAGTGGTATCTAGTAGACCGTCAACCGCTCGGTCCTTGTTCAGTCGGAATGATAACACGCACGTTTCCCAGCAGAACATCGATGGAGGATGAAACAATACAAACGTTACGTTTTATACTTACCTACTAGCAGTAGATGTGTGTGCATGTTAAGGTATTATTATTCTAGCGTCGCGATTACAAAAGTAGGCGGTTCTTGATTCACGCAAGTGACAAAAAGATTGAGTTTTTCAAAATGGTAAACGTAGTGTCTAAATTATTTGATTGACAGGCCAAAATAATCCATCTCTTTTATTCTGGATATTTCTATAATGTAAAGAGAAAAACTTGTGTTTAAAGATGAATCTAAAGTACAATGCCCAAAAATTTATAGAGCTAAAACCCAGAATCGATTAAAATAATGTATATGTAAGGCAAGGTGCTTATACATAGTACACGCCAGATTAAATAATTGTTTTCGATGATACCATCACCAAGTAATAAACAATAACCTGTTTAAGATCTAGCTTTGTATGATCTTTCCTCAGACTTAAGAATCAGTTTTCACTGGTTTTCTTGAACATAATCACATTGTGGTATGATAAACTTGGTAAATCTTATAGGTTTGGGGGGGGGGGGGGGTTACTTGTAATTCTCGTAGATTTTTCTGTATACTTTGACGTTTTCACCTTTCATTAGTCCAGTAACAAAGAACAAACAAAAAAATACAATTATACACAAGCTCATACAAAATTGTGATATACTGCGGGTCCGGTTCCTTCAGATACGATTTTTTTTTTTCAAAACGAATAGCGTATTTGTGATCTCTTACTTATGGTCTATTAAATAGTCTATGAATGTTTTTAGTCGACTCTGGGTTTATTGGGCATTCTCCTTTACAAAACGCTAGTTAAATAGTACCTAGGAGTTATATTAACATTTAACATGTGTTCCAAGTTTACACAGTGTTTTAACTAACTACAATGTGTTTCTTAATACTAACGCTACGTCTTGCGTGTGCGATCTAGAAACGAATGCAGAGCGGTTCGGCGCTGCGCGAAAACTAACTATTGAAGTGTCCGTGACAATTCGCCCGTGAGAGACGGTGCGCGGACGCGATCAGTTGGTTTGATATTTTCGCGCAAATTGTCATATTTGTATGTGGTGCTGACATGTTTTTGTTTGGTTATTCTGACGGAAACAAACACGAACATAGGATGCCGCCGCGTTGCACCAAATTCGCGTGACACCGCCTCATAATCGCGTCCGCTTCTAGATCGCCCACGCAGGATGTAGCGTAATTATTTTATAAATACTTCATGTGCCCATGGAATTTGAAAAGATCAAAATATGATCTTCAGGTTCCATTGGCATGGTCGTTCAAAATTATTTTCAAGTGTATACACACTTGAAAGTTGTATAACTTAGATGTGTTATTGTTATAATGGTAGCGATATTAATAAATTTTTAGATTTAATAATTTAACTTAATCTATTCAGTGTCAATGGTAAAGTAAAATTGTTTACGACCAGTTTCACAAGCTCAGCCATTGCAACTTTAAACACAAAACATAATTAAGACTTACTAGATTTTGAATGAACTTCTAAGAAAGCGGTGAAACAGGTTTTTAACATTATCCCACCAGCCAGTAACAAAGTCTACACCTTGAATTTTATCTGTAGGAGGAAGGCCGTATCGTCGGCGGCGGAGGAAGGACGGCCGGGGGCGGCGCACGAGTCGCTCGCCTGGCTGCAGAGCTCAGTGGAACCTCAACAAACACTGCTGCACCACGCCCCTCATCCAAACCTAAAGACTTGATGCGCTCTGTCGGCAAAATAGAGAGGGACGACTGGAACATGAAGGAAATTGAACGGAAGATCATGGAGAATAGGCTCGGCAGGCCCGAGCCCAAGACCGCTGAGCGGGTGCCCAAGTGGGACCGAGAACAGGTTTGTGTTGTTCTCATTTTTAATGTGATATAAAAATAAAATGATGCTTGCTGCTTATTTTAACATAAACTCAAATTTGTCAAAATTATATCTCTTGTAAGCAAATGTAAAGATAGATACGACGTAAATGAAACTATACAACTGAAAAGATAGTTGTTTGAATAATAAATTTTTTGACCTATTTTTTATCTATTATGGACAACAACAACATAACATCACGCCTTTTATCCTCGGGGAAAGCAGAGGTGCACATTATACCACTGTACAATGTAACACCCACTTTTCACTATTTATGTTATGAGTCCCATGTAATAGGGGGTGAGCCTATTGCCATATACCGGGCACAGTTCCAGACTCCGTGCTACTACTGAGAATTTTTTAAAAACCCAGTAATACTTTGCCCGACCCGGGAATCGAACCCGAGACCCCTTGCCCGGCAGTCGCAATTGCGATCACTCGGCCAACGAGGCAGTATCTATTATGGACTGTAAAGCAAAGCTTGTTAGTATTTAATTAAAAGGAGTTTGTATTTCGTTTGTATTTCTTCGGCATTCCTTCTGAGAGTAGTCAGCAAAGAAATGGCGGCCTCATCTAATTAACGACGACTCATTTTTTCTTTTTATAATGATTGACGACTACCCATTTTCAAAACAAATTCACTTGTTTAGCGATATAATACTTGAACAAAATGTCGTCATCGATAACACATGAATTCGGCACAAAAACTATAGTAATTTCTATAGCTATAGTAATTTGGTGTATATAAGGGTAAACTCTCTTGATAGTTGACACAACTTCATCACTATTATTTACTTGTCACCAGTTTCTGGGTCGGCAGCGCAAGTTGAAAGAGGGTGAGGGTAACGAAGAGAAATGGGTGGAAATCGACGAAACGTTACACAAGCTCGACCAGAAGCTCAAGGACTCTGGGAGACCTGACCAGGGTACTAAGAAGGTATGTAGCTTACCTATCAAGAAACTAATCAATTTATTTCTATTCCATACTATCTACTATCTCCAACGATTGTTTGGTACACAATCCCGGCTATCAGTCGCGTCATTTTCGCTGTCTAGGTAATTAGAAAAGTATAAAGGAAAGAAAGAATTGAATAAATTAAAGTTAGTCAATATAAATAGCTATTGCCGGAATACTGAAACATTACTCAATTTTAAGTCGTGCTCAAATATCGTGCCATCTCTGTCATTTCACAAAGAATTTGTGGAAACAGAACTATAGTTAAGCGCGACTTAAAATTGAGTAACGTTTGAATATTCCGATATATGAATCTTACATGCAAGCACATAAACTTGAAGGGTTTTAGAGATGGAGAGTTTTTATGAAAAATCCAATTATTCTGATAATGAATGTATTATGGAATTATATCCATATTCCTTTTGGTTTACAAAAATAAGCAATGTCGTTATAAAAATAGTACATAACTGAATCATTTCTTGCAGGTTGCGAATTTGGCGACGAAGTTTGTCAAGAAACAACCTGAAGCCGAAATGTCGAAGACTCCGCCAAAAGAAACATCGAAAGAGGACGTACGTACTTTTAAGTTAAAGTCCATTCTTCAATGCAGCAAAACGTTTATTCCAAACCAGCTTCACAAGATAGCATATTACTTGTTCAAAACTTCCAATCCGAATGCCCGTTACAACTCTATGCGTGGGAATCTTTACTACTTTACTAATCTGCCACATTTGACAGTTGACATCGTCAACATGACAGCTAGTGCTGTCGATATACAGATTAAACTAGTGACGTTCATTTAGTTTATTTTCGTCGTCTAACAGTACATATAATAATATAAAAATAAATGTCACTTACTCGTTCCTCATTGATTCAATCACGGATCACGAAATCTGTATAAATATCTACAAATGCTATGTATCTGAAAATTTTGCATGGGTATTGGTAAGACTTGGCCAAAACGGGTTATTGCGAAATTCGACCCCTAAACCGTTGTTTTGGGAGTTGAAAATTTGTATGATGTTTTAATTTTTGCATGGGGGTTGCATATAGGTGTTGGCTAATACAGCGTGGGAGAGCCATGTTTCGATACGAATGGGCCTCACAAAAAATCTACATGAAACAGCGCTTGCGCTGTGTTTCGTCGTGTGAGTAAGGTTACCGGAAACGTCTAACATTTTTTATCCCCAAAACGCCGGCAACGCACTTATGTAATGCCTCTTGTGTTTCGGGTGTCCATGGGCGGCGCCTATTGCTTACAGTATTACGGGTAAGGATTTACAAAATTCGACACCTGGGCCGTTGAAATTTCTTTACTTAAAGTGCTAGAAATTTAAAATTTTACGACTTACGTTAAGAGCGCCTCGGAAAACACGGACACACAATACTGACGTAAGTACATCTCATTATCGATTTCCATTTCTCAGTTTTTATTATGTTTAGTGTGAGTATACTAAAAACATAAATGAAATGAAATGATATTCATATCTGCAAATAGATTACAAAAAACTCGTTTACACGTCAATAAGCTTTGAGCATTACGGTCGGCAATAGACTACAAACAAAATGGTAATTAAGAATTACGTTTTCTTGCTGACATTTTGTTTGTCATATAAAACTGACCGTAGTGTTTACGAGGTTAACGTTTCCATTATAACTGTGTTAGGCAAAGAAGAGTTGGCGCGGTCCTGCGTTCACGGGCATGCAGTGCGCCGCGTGTGGTACTCGCGTGTTCGCGGCAGAGGGAGTCACTGCCGACGGCCTACATCTGCACCGCGCCTGCTTCCGATGTGCCGTCTGCAAGACTGTGCTCAGACCTGGGTTAGTATTATATCTTTAAATTAGCTACTCTTACTTTGTTTCACCAACTCTGCTGAGTTCCTATTATTCGTAGCGTAAAGTTTTATAGCCTATAGCTTTCCTCGATAAATGACTTATCCATCATAAAAATATTTTTTCTAATTGAAACAGTACTTCCTGATATTAGCGCGTTCATTCAAGCAAACAAACCTTCAGCTTTATATATTAGTAACTAGCGACCCGCCCCGGCTTCACACGGGTGCAATATGTATGTATTATACATATAAAACCTCTTTAAGAATCACTCTATCTATTAAAAATCCGCATCAAAATCCGTTGCGTAGTTTTAAAGATCTAAGCATACATAGGGACAGACAGCGCGGATAGCGACTTTGTTTTATACTATGTAGTGAAGACGTATCTATTTCTGACATACTTTAAGTATTAATTTAGAATTTAAATACACCGTAGTTACGTTTAACATCGAAATATAATTTTGTTCCAGTAACTACACAATGGAGCGCTATGGTAGCCGGCTGGTCTGTCTCCGGCACTCCGGCGTGAGTGTCCCTGACGCCGTGGCCGCAGTGACTGCCCTGGCCAACGCTCGCAGTCACCCTCCACCCCCCACTCCTGAGAGGATCAGTCTGGAACTCTCTGATAGTGGCGCCAGGGAAATAGATGAGGACGAATGGACAGACAGGAACTTCTTGGCGTCGGAAACCTCGTGTGCTGGAGGACTTAGGTAAGACATTGGTTATTTAATGCTGGGTTTCATGGTGGATTGTGAAGATAGTAATTTTAAGTATCAAGAATCTCGTTGCCTTATACCCCCACCGCTGCAATTTTTGATATAGCTTGTTTTTTTAATCAAAATTTATACTTATGGTAGAGTAGAAATACAATATTGTTTTTTCAAAGGCAGAACCTTTTTCATGGTTTTTGAGGCGCAACTCTAATGTATTCAATTTTATGCCTATTCAAAAGTCATTGGTAATTGCAAACTATGGAACTAGTGCAGAGTTGTGAACTAACGCAGCAAAACTCTGTCGGAAAATATTCTGTTCGTTTAATATTTAAACTCCCTCTACTTATAAATATTGTCACTGTTTTTCTATAAAAATAAAGTGGTTACATGAATGCAAGTTACATTAATGACTCAATATTTCAACATAATATGTTATGTATGTCGCAAGGGTCATGAATACGGGGCTGCAATTGGCTACTGCTAGCAAAGATGGCGCGCTTCCACATTGCAACACAGCACTCACTTTCTTCTCTTGGGCTCCGAGTCTGTCAGTCTATTCGTGTTCAGTGATTGCAATCATTTTTGTGTATTTTATATTCAGTTTAATATTGTAAACAATGTAAGTGGATCTTTGATGTACTAAATTAATCATTGTGTGAACTTTAACCCATTTAGGCCCGCCGTCCCCATATGGGGACAGGTTTTCTTTTACCCGCTGGTTATTAATTATTTTAGCTATCTTCACATTTCATGGGTATTTATAATGAGGAGTAGTGTACTTTCCTAAAATTAATAGAACTTTTGACAAATTGCTACAAAAAAGGGGTCATATTGTCAATTTTATCAAGAGGAAGTGAAATGGGAATTATTATTGAAAGCAGAGGCGTTTTGTAGTACGTTATTATGAAGATTTATAAAACTTTTTTGTGATTATTGCTTGCTTATAGTGTCAATTAAAACAATATTGAAGAATATCCTTATACTTTCAATTCCGCTTAGGGGAAAGTTAGAAAAAATGATGGTGTCCCCGTATGGGGACAATGGGCACATCTGTAGTATATTTTTAAAACATTTATACCTGATTTGTATTTTGTTTTCCAATTTATAAAGGTCACCTATAGGCTAAACTTAGTTATAGCTAATACTTGGTGACAACAGACGCTATTTCACGAAGAGCATCACCAATTCCGCCATATCTTTACGCGTTCATATTCTAAAATCTGATAGGCATCAAGACCGAAGATGCAAAAGTCCACCTACAGTACCAGGCGTCGCATCCGATATCAGAATTCAGCAGTAGGGGCATTTCCTCCAGCTGTATTCTGGTGTCGTCACAGCGAAGTCCACCCAGAGGATAGAGTAGCATTATGCCCTGTATACGTTGACCACCGCCGTGTCTTCAGGGAAGTGATCGACGACGATAATCTTCCACGTCCAGCTTAGGTTCTGGCTGTGGTGCGGGGCGAGGGGAACTGGAAAACATCTCTTTTTGCGAAGCAGTCATAGTAGCAAGAACAGATCGCCACCCAGAACCAGACCTGTACCTGTAAGGTGCGTGGCGTTACGCGCGTGCTTCAAAGTGCAGATCAGACCGCCTTAGATCGAGATGGCTCAGTGGGACAGATGCCCGACTACTATGAATAACCTAGTGGGTCACCGGGGCTTCGGCTTGAAGCAGAATTAGGAACGTGTTGGTTTTTAGCCAGTAAGAGTACCCCAGGTGGAAAACGCAATGCATGATTTTTACCCTCAAAAAAAAATATAGACAAAAAATTTAGACATTTTCCGCAGAGATTTAGTTAATATCTGTTACGATACGCAGTTCGTCATAAAAAAACTGTGATATCAATGCAAATAATGCGTTAGAACCTTATGTGTCGAAAACAGTTACTACTTCGAAAAGTACTACACATGAGCCCATTGTCCCCAATCAAGGACGGCATTTTTTTTAATACTTCTAAAAATATTTTTTGAATTTTTTTTGCTGATATTAGTTTGTGGGCGTCATATCATTGAGTTAATTAAGTTTTTTTTATTAAATTATATGTAGTTTGCATTTGGTCCCAAATGGGTTAAAAGTGACTGTTTGTGTGTGTATGTGTGTGTGTGTTTGTTTCGGTGTTTCTTCTCATTGCAGTCGGGAAATATCGACCTCATCTGGTTTAAAGTGTTGTCGTGTAAAAGTGATCGTTTGTAGGCTATGTACATTGTACACCATACTCTACGCCTATCTGTGATGAAGAGAGATTTCGCAAAATTGCCTACTCCATTATCCTTCATGTCATTATCATCACCCGTCTATGGCATAGTGTATATACTGGCCACTGCTGAGCAAAGGCCTCCTCTCACGTGGATGACGAGACAGATGGACGGAGAATTAAATTTTTGACGTTTTAAAAGTGTTTAATTGAGCGTTAATTGAAATAAATGCTTTGACTTTGACTTTGACGTTAATCACTATGCTTGCTCAAGACGACTTCAAACTTATAATTAGAAATTATAAGTTCTACATACTGTAATGCCCCCCTCGAAAGGCCAGCAATGCACTTGCAACTCCTCCCCTTTAAGTCCATGGGCGGCGCTGATTGCTTACCATCAAGTGATTGAGTCATTTACTCATCAGTCATTTACCATAAAAATGGTCATAATTTCGCAGTGACGAGGAGGAGTCGAGTTCTGAAGAGTACACGGACGCGGGAGACAGCGACAATGGAGTGGCTGCGTCACCCGAGCCACAGGTCGCTGCGCCGCGACCTGCGCACTCCGAGCTTTACTTCTCTGATGATTCCTTCGGTTACGATGACTACTCGGATGACGGTAAGTTAATGTTGCTTGATTTTTCTTTGAAAATGCTATTAAATTAAACTTAATTATTAAATAATGTTAATACTTTTTTATCTTTTTAAAAACGTTACCCCACTCTAGGATTTTCTCCCGTGTTGTGGGTGCGTTTACAAACATACAAGTTCACATACACATGACACCTAAACGCGGAACAACAATCTATGGATCACACAAAGAGTTGTTTCGTGCGGAAATCGAAGCTGCAACACGTTGCACGGCAGCCAGTTGCCCAGCCACCGCACCAACAGTGCAGTCGTTTCTTTCAATTCGTTTATTCCAATACGAATCAGTAGTCATTATATTAGCGCGTCTAAAAAAAACAGACAAATTCTTCAGTTTTAATTAGTATGTTGTGACATTTTCACATTATAAACTGTGATGATCAGGAGCGGAATCATCAGGCAACGAGTCGTGTTCCCGCATGCGGGCGGCGCGCGAGGCTCGCCGGCGCGAGGTCCCGGCGGACGCGCGCCCGCCGACGGACAGCAGCGAGGTACCGCGCTGCAGCGTCGCCTAGTCGCGGCTAGCGGTGTAGGGAGGTGCGGAACCCGACCCACCGCCGCCCCATACATGCCTATTAAATTATCCCACATCAATTTATTGTTTGCTGTGTAGCTTAGACACTATTACAACGAATTTGTCTCATATATCGGCGTATATGAGATGAGAATCCGACTAGTTTCAAGCCACCTTATATTGGAGAGAATTGAAAGTGTAATACGAAAAATAAGTAATATTGTAATCAGTTGATAGTAATATGTGTATGTTACACTCCACATTACAACACAAATGTGATGAATTTATCTTTACGCGGTGGTTGTAGTACTTCGGACTTCGGTGTAGAAAGTAGAAATTACTTTAAAAAAGTTTGATCAAATTCACCTGAACGAAATGCTTGTGATCAGTAAAATTATTAACTAAATCTATTAGATTGGCGAAAGCCTTATAGCACGTGAGTTATCACAGTGAATGCAAGAATTGACGTCAGATGTAGTTGAATGTAAGAAACAAAAAAATCAAGTGAACGTCAAAAAAGAAATGCTATGACACCCTGGTAGGGTTAGATTTGAGTGAACTTTTTCATTAAGAGCGTAGCATTAAAGTTTACAATTGATAAATTGAAACATTAATGACAATAGGTCTTCGTAGGCCTGTCCTAGGTCATCGTAGGCTTGTGCCAGGTCATTGTAGGCCTGTTCTAGGCATAGGCATCGTGACGTTAGTGCATGCGTCATGTCACCATCATACTGCGCTAGATAACAGGGGCGGCGGCAGCGGCGCGGTAAGCGTGTACTTGTCCACACTAACTTCCGTCTACGACTTACTGTTTTATTTTGTTACTTACGAATAAACAATTTCCATAAACTATGTTCAAAAGAAACGAAAAAGAAACTGAGATCCTCCATTTTTCAAGTCAGTTAATAAATAAATACGTATGTAGTGCATAGGTACAGTTTTTAAGCTAATTCGGCACAATTATATTGCATCCGAAGAATAAGTAAAAATATTCGACATTTAGTCAGTTATCATTTAGAAATCAGAATAAGTTATGATATTTCATTTAAGAGTATAGGATTACTATACGAATACGATATATAAACTAGGCGAAAACAAAACGAAAAGAGATACAAGTTATATTTAGTATGTACAATCGACAAAGTTGGCGGTCGACCTACATTAAGCGATATTCGTATACCCTCGGCGCGAGCGACCACGGAAAACAGGGCGGTGGATAGAGGATTTTGTTTAAAGTGTACTGCCGTAAACTATACCGACAGTACATTCATATTACGTTAACTTCTGTTCTGATATCTCTTGGATACATTATCTTTATAAAAGTGACAATATAAAACAGTAAGATCTTAAAAAATCGATGGCGTTTTTAATTGTGTTGTTTCTGTATTATTAATATATTAATTTATTATATTATGTACTTATTAATTGGTCATTATAATATTGTGTTTATCAGCTTCATAACTGTAAGATGTGTATTATAGCTGTATATGTATGTATATATTATATATTTCATAATTATGTGTATATAACGTTTTGTATTGTTGTTTCTGATTTATTTTTATATATATTATGTTTTATTTCGTGTCGTTTGAAAGTATTTGGCTGATATATTTGGTATATTAAAAGAAATATAAAATAAATATTTTCAAAAATTATCAATTTCAATTGCGGCAATAGTTTTGAATGTCAAATACAGTTGAGCGACTATGTATATAGTTATGTATAGAGGTTGTGACGTACTGGTAGTGACTAGTGACGCCACGTGTTCCGCCATCTGTTCGGACGGTAAGTTAGTGTGGTTTGTGCGCATCTTTCTACGCACCACTCGGGGCGCTCGCTTCTATCTGTGCCTGACTGGCCGACACTCGTACACCGTACTAACCGAGCTTGCACACAGGTGGAATCCGAGGAGGAGAGCGAGTCCAGTGACGAGGAAGTGTCCTCAGCCACGGAGGTTTCGACGGACAGCGAGTTCGCGCGGGAGGAGGTGGCACCCGCACCCTCCCCGCCCGCCATCTTGGTGACGGAGGCCACGCCCCCCGCGCCCCCACCCCCGCACGAGTACCCGCTCAGCCGCACGCGCTCCGCCGGTGGACTCGCCACCAAGCGCGCTCTAGAACTCAAGCGACGGTACCTGCTCGGGGAGCCGTCGCCCCCTGCCGTCAGGAAGTCGGACTCCACCTCACAAATAGACACCAAGTTCGAAGCCTTTAGATCTACCATCACAGAGTTCCAGAAAATGTTACACCCCGCACCCGCACCCACACAGCAGCCACAACCACAGAAACCAGTAGTCACCTTCCAGCTGTCCACCGACGATAAGAAATCGCATCCGATGCCTGACATCATTAAGAACCTTGTCGCCGATGCACCAGTCGATCTGCTCACCAAAGTAGACGCACCGCTCATCAAAGAATGGAGGACAGAGTCTAAGAATGAGAAGGATCCGGATTTGGACTCAGACTCGTTGTCCGAAGATGACTCGTCACACACGGAGACTGCGCCCAATCAGTCGGTGCCTCGACTCGAGGTGCACGACGAAGGCGGAGAGCTGATACAGTTGGACAGCCTCATGTTAATCAATAACAGCACGGAGGACGAGAAGGCGTCTGGCACAGCCACCGCGACTGGCACTACCATCGTCGCGGCGGCTGAGTCGGAGTCTTCAGAGTCCGGTCGCGACGCCACCACGCTGGCACTCACCGAGACAGAGCTCTCCGACTGGGCGGCTGAGAGCGCCGTGCTAGACGACTGTGGCTTCGACGACAAGGAGGAGAGAAAACGAAGCAAGAACCCCAGAACTCTAAGCGGTCCTAAACTGGTACATGACGCGAAAAACATCGCTGCGGTCGCGTCTCACGTATGTGGGAGGAGTAGCCCTGTCGAGGCAGTCGTCTATTCTAACGCATTAGAACATTTCGAGTTTGCCGACGAAGGGGATCAAGACCCCTCATTGGAGACTCCCATCACTCCGAGGAACGAAGGGTATATGGAACTGGTAGACAACGACTACGATACCTACTCGCCGGGAAACGATCGCTCTATGAATTTTATCGAGAGGAGTTTTTCTGAAACCGTTTTTAAGCCAGCCAGCCAAGAAAACAGCTACAGACAGAACTTATGTCCTATTGATTTGGATGACATAGAAGATATCGATGCAGACACGGAGCCTTTAGACTTGAAGTCGCCGCAACTGTTGAAGTCGGTCGAGAATGATGTCAGTGAGAAATCCAACAGCGACAGTTTACAAAAGAGTGAGAGTGTACATAAAACTGACAGCTTGCAGAAAACTGACAGTTTACTGAAAACGGACAGTTTGCTGAAAACTGATAGCTTACTGAAGACTGACACAATGAGCATGCAGAGAAGTGACAGTATTTTCAAGAGTGAGAGTGTACAAGTAGATAATAGTTCAGAACCGAAGATAGAAAATAAAATAGAAACATTAAGTTTATCAGAAATATCGCCGCCATTAGAAAAGGATAAACTTGTCGAGACGGAGCAGTCCGAGGTGTCTCCGCCACTAGTACCTGATACTCCCAAGGCTAAGCTCCCGATGAGCATTCCGTTCTCGGGACCGTCCACCATCCGGCTGTATTCGCCTGCCATCTGCCGGTCGGCCAGCGAGACGTTCAACAGGTCGACGTCGAGGAGCACGGACTCACCGACACGGAGCTTTGAGCTGTCTGTGTCGATCAATCTTAGCTCAGGCTCACTATCGCCAGTGAGTCCCGTGCCGGCTCGCGACACTACGGACAAGGTACAGGAGATTAAGAGGGAACGCGAGGAGCAGACAGAGGTTGTGAGGAGATTGGTGCTGGAGAGGTTGGGGAGCGTGCCTAAAGCGAGCCGCAAGTCGGTGAAACGGTCGCGGGCGTCGCCGGCCTCGGTGCCGCCTCCCGTCCCGCCTCCGCCGATACTGCCCGCTCCGCCCACGCCACCTCCACCCCGCCCCGCGCCTCCCCTCATGCCTCTGCCCGTGACGTCTTCCTTCTCAGATCCTGAGCTAGCTCGCGAGAGACGAAGCAAGAGCATCATGAAAAGTATTTCCAATTACCTGAACCGGAGGCTGGGACCTCGACACAAGGTAGGCACATCCATACAACATTACTACTCTTTGCATATTAGAGAATGTTAGCCCAGTATGGCGGCCATGGTCTTGATTAATGTCTCATAAAATAATATCAAACATTGACCATGGCTGTTTACGACTTCATATTCACATTTTTTCTATCAGAACATTGCATAAACCTGAACATGCATAGTTTCCATAATGCGAACATAAACTCATGTCATGTGAGACTGCATTTTGAACAATGTGTATAACTATTACAGCACAGTCGACAAACATAATTTTCTCAAACAAGCAATGAATTTTCAAATTAACGACACCAACATAGTGATGATTTTTACTTGTACGATGATGATTTAGAAACAATTCTCATGTTTACTATGTGGATATATTGACTAACGATTGTAATTTTATTAACTTTCTTTACGTTTCGTACAAAAAGAAATCCTGACTGCCAAGAACCATACCATAACTTGAATGAATAGTTTACAAACTAGCGTCACTAGAAATGTGAATATTGTATAAAATAAAGTAGCCGTACTGTCCGGGGTTGGGCGTAACATTTAGTAAGGGTGTCCACGATTTGGCAATTTAACAGAAACACGGAAATGGAAATAACTTGTTTGGGGCACTTTGATGTTTTGTGATGGCCTAAGTTAGAATGAAGACTCATCCTACACTAAGATTTTGTATCGAGAGTTGATAATTTGATTCATAGCTATGGATGCTTTTCCTTCTAACTTCAGTCCAGCACGCAATAATAATAATAACATCAAAATTTCGACGCAGTCGGACACCTGAGTAGACTAACACCAGTTGAATTTTCAGTCGTACTCGGACCCGGATCTCCAGTGGCACGTAAGCAAATTACAATACAGTGTCGTGAGTCGCATGCTACAGTCTGTCGCACCGACTTGTCGTGAATGTCCGCCCGCCTTTATAAGTGACGTTGGATTTCGATGTAATGCATGTCGCGTGTGTCGGTCAGGGTTTGTGTCCAATGCTATTTATATCTGTGTACTATATGGGAACAACTGAATCTTATTGGTTTTCTGGGGTCATCTATACAATGAGGGGTGCGGTTTTCTTGCTCACTAGTGTAGCTTGAGGTCTGTTTGTCCTATCACTGTATTTGTCAAATAATTTGACATCAGACTAATTCTCTAATAGGACCTTACGCTACACTAGCGTCATCAAGCAAGCACAAAAACATTAGCTCTCATTGTAATTTTGAATGATGAGTCGTAATTCATAGGGTCCTAATTCATATTACTGTGATGAAGTGTTACTTTGATCCAACGTCACCATTTCGTTCTGCATTTGTCTGTTACATGAATGTCTTACGCTTCAACTGTCACTATTTGTTTTTTTTTTCGATGCCGTTGCCGTTACAGCATGTTGCCGTTTTGATCAGATTGTCGTTTAGTATAAAAGTGGGTAATTTTGACGAAATTGAGTAGTGTTAATAGTGTAATGTGGGAGTGACTATACTTGAACTTATCTATAAAGAAATTTAGCTAATAAACTTTCTACCTTAAACTAAAAAGTACGTTCTTAACAAAATTTTGAAAACGTTTTAACATTATGCTAGATTTCTAATATTTTAGAAGATTCACTACAATTTGCATTTCTAAAATAGATAGTTTTGGTACAAATCCTTCAACAATATTAGATAGAACAATAATGAACTAACCTAATGTAACATTTTAACAATTAAAAAGAACATTTTGTGTGAGGAACACAGAATATAATAATATACAATTGTGACATTAGAATAAAAAGGAATTTGTTTTGTTATTTTGAGAGCCGAGTTTGTTATATAATTAAGAAAAAATATAATATGCTATTAAAAGCGAACTTGTCCCACCACGTCTAAATCTTTTATAACATAGTTGGCGAACATTGTGATAGGTTTGAGTAGGATTATACACTAGTGGTTGACCGCCTATCGTCTGATGCGGTTGTATCGCGGTTGCGATATAAAATTGGCGGATAGCCGCGCGGTCAAACGCTAGTGCGTAAGGGTCTTATGCCCAAATACTCAATCGCCACTCAATTTAAAGTCTCTTATATTGGCTATGTGCAAAGCGAGTAGTGGCGGACAGACAACGACCGCAGCGCACAACACGGCAGAAATTGGAAACAAATGCGGACGATGCAAACCCGGTTTTTATTATTATATTCATTTTACAGTATAACTATTGAATAAATTGCACTTAAATAATGTCAACAATACTATTATAATCTTTGGTTTTATTTATATTTGCAAAGAAAATTATAATGTTTACATTGTTATTATTTGACAGCTTCCGCAAATGTTGTAAACGGTATGCGTCGCCACCGTCGCGCATATAGCCAATAGTCCTGTCACTAGAAATTCTTTGTAAAATGACAAAGGCTTAAGTACGACTTAAAATTAATTCGGCCTAGTTTAGATGTTAGTATTCATAAACTGTGTGTCTAATGTTTTTGTTACAATAAACACTTTTTATTTATTTTATTTATTAATTAGCCTTTCCGTATTCGAGCTTTAATTCTAGATATTAGATTGATAAGTTATCTGATCACAGCGGTGTGCATGCACTAAGTTTTCGCTCATTTTCAACGTAGCGGTATTTATGTATTTTAATGTAAATGGATGTGCATGTTAACAAGTAACTTGCTATTAATGTACATGAACATAATACCAGCGATTTATTTATATTATTTTTATTGGTTATACTCTAGTGCGACCAAAACTGTATCGGTTGTTCTATAATACAACTAATTTTGTAGTAGTGCTCTTAGCACTGAGTTTTTACTAATGAAAAATGACAATTTCGTTTCTTTCACGTTTTTTTATGTTCAGTACATTAAAGCAAGTGTTATATGAATGTATGTTAAGCTAGTATTACAAAGCTTGCATGTCTCAACAATGCTTCTCGCAATTTCTATAAAAAACCCAGAGCATTTTTATTCGTAAGTTATTTTCGTCCTTACATCTACTGAGTAAGGACCTAAATGGCTTTCAACATCAGTTAAGGTAGGTATCAAGCAATAAAAATAATTTAACACTTTTCTATCAATGTCTAAAAACTACCACAAATGTAGATTGACAAGAAAAATGTATAAAAACACTTATGTACACATAACCTCTTACGTAGAAGTATTAACTCAAAGAAAATAGTACCTTCAGTAAACTGTATATAAAGGTTACTTTCACTAATTCAACTTATATATAACATTATAGACTCTACGTAGAACTAAGTAATGACAATATAAAGAAAATAGTACTTTCACTAAAGCAAATAGAGTACAATATTCACTATAGGTACGTTTAATATTTATAAGGCTCAGTGTTCACTGCGGGGTGTTTGTGTTAAAGGAGCCGCAGTTACTGTCGAACGCTCACAAGTCGACGGGGGCATTGCAAGAAGCTCCCCCTGTTCCTCCACCACCCGCCAGCTACTGTCCACCAGTGGAACACAGGCCCACACATAGAGTAACAGGTTGGTGTACACTAAGCTTAAAACAATAAACTATTCATACTAGAACATCGAGCACTAACTGTTAGATGTTAAAACATTAATTTCGTACTCATAAAGTATGTGTATTGTCATTGAAAAGTTTAATTCATTGCATTACATGTCAGCCTTGTGCATTGTATCGTGTAGTTGCATATTAATGTATTGCATATGAGTACTTAGAATGCATTTAGACATCTCCATATAGTGACGTCTTCATTCGGACCAGACGCAGATCCAATGGGCCAAAAAGTGTTGAAGTTTCATCTTCCTCTATTAAAATATATTATTTTGCGGGCGGCAACAAGGTTACGGCGAAGTTCATTCCTGCAGGGATCGTACTTTTAATGTAGTAGACGTGTTTGGGTATCAGGATAACAGAAGCTCCGACAACGTGTCGTCGAACAATTTAAGTTATCGTTTAAAACGTTAGTGTTCAATTAGACTCTGATAAACAATTCCACCACAAACCCAACAGAGTTTAGTGTGGTGGTATTCCACATGAATCTATTTTACCTAATACGTAACTGAGTGAGCTAATATGCTCTATTTGTAAAATACTACTACAAGAAAAGTTCATTATTATAATATTATTGGAAGCTTGATATTAAATAACTCCCTTGGATCCGTGCCTGACAGCTTGGCAATAAAAACCAGCCTTACAGCCACGTAACTTCATCCCACGATCATCGTAACCACTAACAGCAGGGCCGAGTAGCAGCGCGGCTGATGTCGACGAGAGAGATGCCATGCAGCTCTGGTTCGAGGCTCGGTGGGCTCGCCTTGTGGCACAGCGGCGTGCCAGAGAGGAACCGCGTGATGAACCTGCTGCTCGACGCCTGGCGAGGCTCGAACGACGATTAACACGACCTCTGTCTGGTAAATTGTATACATTTTTATGAAGATGGTGTATCTGGTAAATCGGTACACTTTTATGAAGATGGTATTTTTTTCTTTCTCTCTGATAAAGACGTAAGTATCTGAGCTATCATGATATCATTGGCATATAGTTTGTTCTGTTCATTGCTTGGCATTTTGTTCATTGTAAATAATTATAGATTACGTAGTACCCTTTTGGGTGGCCACGTTTGAATATAACTTGGTCGTTAAAGTAATGTGTGGAAAAATATCCTTGTCTAAAGCATAGTTTAATAAGAATTTGGTGTAGCCACCGAGTGTGAATGTGGCAATACACTTTGTATTGGTAACAATTTTTACGCCTGTTCTGTTTACGATGATTAAAAGCAAATATTATGAAATGGTACCAAAGTCAAAAGTCAAAGTCAAAATCATTTATTTCAATTAGGCCAGAATGGCACATTTGAACATCAACAAAAAAAATTTAAAGTGAAGTTATTTGCTCATTCCAAGGTGTAGATTCTTATGGAGAAGAACGAGCAAGAAACTCCATAGGGTACCCGAGTTTATACAGATGCCACTACTTTACTTTCTTTATGTATTGACTGTATTATTGATGGTGTATTAATATTTCAGCGGAGCAGCAGGCGGCGACGGTGGCGGAACTAGTGCAGGTCTCCGCTCAGAGAGACGCGCACCAAGCTCTAATGGCGGCCGATAGGTAAACTCAATAATTTCCTAACTATAGGCCTGCTTGCTAGGTAGGACTTTCAAAACAACCAGTCAGGGTAAATAAGAGTAGCATCACTGAAGACTGGTTTACTCGTACCAGCCGCCTCGTCTGTAATATCTAGATAAAAAATTACCAGAGTATTCTAGTGTCTATCTCTTTGCCAAGTTTTGTGTCCACACCTTGTTTCAAACTCTCGCGATTATAACATTACTAGACGTTGCACCTGTATACAACATGTAACTTAAATAACGCATATCCTGAAAATAGTTTGTTCAGAATTGTTAACTGAATCAATTTATATAATTTTAAGTATAGGTAATTTTTTATCCCAAAAATAATTAAAACTACGGAAATTATTGTCATATTAACCCTGTATTGTTAAGACAAATCGAAATGGACCGTAAGTCAAAGCAATAAGACTTTTAAAATAGCAGTTTTATTTGTATTCATACAAATTCTATCATTCAATACAAAATAAAGAAAAATAAACCTTATGACAAGACCAGTAAGGATGCATACATGTTAAATAAAAATTTAGTGTATGTATTATGATTATAACATAATATTCTAATTGGGATGTTTGAGGGTGTGCGTTAATTACATTACATGTTGTATACATCTGTAGACGAGATTTAAGCAACCTCAATATTGGTATATGTATATACAATAGCAATAAAATTTGACTTCGTCTACTGAGAAACTAATCTATTGCATTCATTTAGAAAATATACATTTTTTTATTTGTTGGCCGAGTAGTCGCAAGTGCAACAGCCGGGCAAGACGTCTTGGGTTCTATTCCCGGGTGGCCAAAGTATAACTGGGTTTTAAAAAAAATCAGTAGTAGTAGCACTGAGTCTAGAATTGTGCTCGGTATATGGCAATAGGCCCATCCCCTGTTACATGGGGATCTTCACTCGAATACTGAAAAGTGAGTGTTACATTGTACAGTGGCAAAAAGTGCCATAATGTGCACTTCTGTCTACCCCTTCGGGGATAAAAGACGTGATGTGATGTTTATCTTAACTCTATACTAACAAATGGCACCTTCAATTTCAGGAGGCGAAGTGCAGGCGGCAGTGTTGGCGACTAGACCGCTTTCAACAATGCATCATTCGCATCAATTGCTTGTGATCACAAACACACACTAAACATGAAATTAACATTTTACAAACATAAACACAAATCAATGAAATATTACATAATATTTGTTAATTTCTGGTTTATTGTATTCATTATAAAATATTTATTATTCGATCATTAAGAATCATGGAATAAAAGTACCTACATTAGTTTATAGAACTTAGGAATATATTTTAATCTATCGACGTTATTATATCAGTTCTCTTATTTTCGTTATGACTGGACATTGCTGAAGTATTAGGAACAAAATAATTATGAGTTTTATTATATAGGTATGCTAAAATCAATCTTATTACATGCATTATTAAGGTGGTTTAGTGGTGCTCAATACAAATATTCTATCTCGTTTGGTTTTTTAGAAGACGAAGGCCAGTAACACACTCGTTACTGGTCTGGTGTTGCGAGTGTCTATGGGCGGCGCTGATTGCTTATCATTGGGTAATCCGTCGTTTGAATACCGACCTATCTTACAATAACTGACATAAATTTCCCGTTTATCACTTGACAGCATTAGTTCTACTAAAAATGTTATAAAGAATTTATTTAATTTTATGACTAAGTTGGACCATAGTGCGACCTAATGTTGAATATAATAGTTTGAAATGAACAAAAATCATATTTGCACAAATTTATGAAGCTCTCAGTTGATTATGATAATATTGTAATTCATGACTGTAATTTTTACTTATAGTCAATCAGAACAAGCAAATTTTTTAATATATAGAATTAAAGGACAAAATAAATAGAATTGACTTATATTCATTTAAAGTTGTATATTTGCATATTTAAAGTACGTCAGTGCATACAACTATTCCAAAAAAACCATACGTGGCAGACATTTTTTATATTTAATTTCAAAGACGAATAGAAGAATCAATGATAGTCATTATTTCACGCCTGTGTCGGTACCACAACACTGTAGCTTAAGTTTAACCAATGAAATCGTTGTACAGCTATATGTCGGTTAAATTTAAACCGTACAGTAATACAAAATCATGTAATATATAACGTTTATCGTTCTTTAACCTTTTCTCTAGCTTAGGAGAAAATATTTTAAAGAAAATCAATCGTGACGCTCCTTTCTACAACTAGTATCGACAATTGTACACTGACTAGCAGATAAACATACTCCTTTGTGACATTAAATTTACAACTTATTTGATTTGATATAAAGCCGAAAATCTACTAAGAGATTGGACCAGCTTGATGTGCCCGTATTCTGAGCTTTTTTTTCGAACAAAAAGGTCCAAGCCGAGCGTCAACTGCAGAAGGTCACAAATCATATACTCCTTTCTATTTATTTTACATTAACACTTTTATACATTAGTTAAATTACTTGGAATTAAGTTTTTTTTATTAGTAAAATGAATATAGATAGAGTATGTATGTAAAATGCCCTGTGTGGGTGCAAACAGTGTGCTAGATACGCCAAATGGGTTAGGTACATGAAAATATTTTTTTATTGTAAACCTAGACAGCTAAGGACTCGTAGATATAGTATGGACATTTACAAACGCTCTTTAAGATAAAGCTGGAATGAACTACATGTCTCGCTCACACAGTTGCCTTTTGCACGTGTATGATAAGGACAGCTTGACGTGTTGTAGCTTCCAAATCAATGTAAGATATTGTTAAACATCACATTTTCTTGAAGATATTGCTAAATGAGCGTTTTAAATGTAGTGTTTATATAAATAGCGGTTTATTGACTATTATTGTCTCGCTTGCTCTCACGTGTACTGAAACTTATGAAGTACCGTAATCTCTGTTTTCTGCTGGCAACCATTTTCAGCCCGTCAGGTCTATTATAAGGTGTGAATTAGTTATGATCAATCAGAGATCAAGATATATTGGTTATGAACTTTTACGCGAAAATGATCTTTGTTAGTAAACACTTCTTTGCATGCAACTAGTAACAAATAAATATTGGCATTAAAGCCGTTTTTCCGTCACACGTACCGTCTCAGTCTGCGATGTTCGCGTCGGCGCAATAAGCTTTTAAACAAAATTATGTAATGTCGGTTCAAATGTATAAATATTTAACATATTCTATATCTATAGTGTAAGCGTTGCTGCTAAGTATATTATATATTAAATTGTCATATTTATCATATAAGTTTTATACAAAGTTCACAGAGAATATTTATTAAAAATTTAGATTACGTCTTTACAGTCTTATGTAGTAATCCGTCGAAGTGTTATAGTTTGCTGCATAGTGTAATGAATCGAGATATTACTGTATACAGATTATAACTATTGTATAATTAAATTGGTTTACTGCATTTGACCGGTGAACGCTTTAATAAAGTAGTGGTAGTACAATCACGTTTGCATTGCCAGTTCTATTTAATGATAGTAGAAAAATAGATATTATACAACAGTCTGCATTAATACTAGCTATGGCATTTAAGCGTCTGTCGTCCGAGAGAATAGAAAACACAAAAACCGGACCCTTTTCTGGACACACTGGATCTCAATATTTGTATTAAGATTTCTTACACTAAGTCTATGGTGTTATGTTCTGTCAAAAAAGTAGCTGGATCGACGCATATCCGCTCGAGACAATATACTTTCTATTGTGACCTATATACTGGCATCCAAGTGATTCAGATCAATTATTACCAACAATGCTCAAGTATGCTCGGGATTGAATACTAAAATCTATGTTCTCTCAGTGAACTAGACAGACTAGCTTTTTATTGCCCTTTAGTTCATAGTCTGACAAAAAGCAGATCAAGACACAATGTAGTTTTAATTATGTCTCGTATAGACAGTCAGAGGTAACTAGGGTGTGAACACAAGCAATAACAATTCTAAATATGTAATATAAGATACACAATATTTATTATAAAAAATACAAGTTATTTACAAATAATTATTTACTATACATATTTGTAAATAGTACGCGTGTTTATGATTATACTAATATTATGATAAATATGACAATTGCTTGGTTTTAGGTGGGCTTCAGTTGTTATTGTTCATAAAGGTGTACTTTTACCGTGGGAATGCGAATAACCTTTAAAAAAGTTTCTTAAACTATACTCATATTAAATTAATAGAAAGATCAATGTATGAGGATCAAATTTTATTAATAATCAATTTCATGAGACATAATTATGTTTTGTCTTACTTACGTATCTGTGTTTGACGAGGAATTCGAACTCAAGCCATTCTAGGGGATCATACCTCTATTCATGAGCAGCATTCCACGATTCATTCATCAATATACATGATATGAAACAAAGTTAATCGCAACACCATACATTGCTTTTGCTATTATTTTTAGGATGAAACAAGAAATTAATGAAATCTGGGCCTTTAGCCAAACGCCACTATAGCGCTTGTCTACAGAGAGAGTAGAAAACTAAATGTATGGGGATGACACTAACAAGTGTCAAAATTTACGTCAATTCCATATAATTTGTTTTTCTATTCTACATGTAGACAAGCGCTAAATGGCATTTGGCTACAGCTACAGCAACCATAAGTTAATATTCTAAGCAAATGGTTCATGTATAAATGGTGTTACTGTTCACTACGGTCTGGGTACACATAACATATTGTAGCCATGTTGGAACAGAACCAACGAGTTTGCAGTCTGTTCCCTTGTGTGAAGAAATAAGTTGAGAATTACTGTATAAAATTGTGGCGTAAATTGAAATTCACTTTTTATAAATGAAGTGCCAAAGAACAATTCTTTGTTTGATCCGTATAGCGTGATTTCGGGTATGTGTGTAGATATTAAAGCACCAAAGGCACGACATAAATTCTAGTGCTGAAGAATAAAGAAGGTTAAAAAACAAATCCAATTATATATTTGAATACGACAGTTACACACTACAATCAAATCATGATCGACCTCCTTTTATTATATAATTATTTCTCCACACAAGTTAGTTTAACCTAAACAAATAAACTTAGTATAAGTAGTAGCGAATTTTCAACTTCATATATATTATATAATGATATGTATATTTTTATATAACTAATGTGTTTATGATGAGCTTTCGAACAGTGGCGCTTCACTGTCAAATGCCACTTTAGGTGCATCACAACAAACGTAATTACTATTCTTATAAATATTGTTATAGAGTTGATAATTGAATGTACGACCGCAAAGGTTCCATTCGCTATGTATCATAAATAGATTGAACATATTTTTTTACCTACTAGTTAATGATAGTCTTCCTAAATTATGTACATTTTCTTTTTTGTATTTTCGGCCTTCTATTTTTACATTGAATATATAGATGCCAACACATTAAGATAATAACAATTTCTTTAATAGATTATCAACTTTATGGTGTTCTATAATAACGTTAATAATTAGTAATCCAAACTAGTACCAACCGAATTTGGTATCTAAGGCGAGAATTTCTGTAACACATTTTCAAACTAAACCTTTAGCAATAAAGTTGATAATCTTTTAATGAAATTTCTAACTTCGAGTATTATAACAGCTTGTTTTATCTTGGTGTTGGTATGTCAGTTAATTCGTTCCTCGTTAATAGCGGCCTTATATTATGAATTACAAAAATAACATTCATACTATCATTGTTCAGTCGCGTGATTAGTTCTGAATTCTCTGGAAAGGTAAATAAATGGTTAGTAATTATACGCGTATCGTGGGCGTCTACTGGTCGACAAAGGTCCCCTTCAACCAAGGTAGTCAGTCATACTGCCATCACGCCCCTTAAATCTAATATCTTCTATCGACTCTATAAGTCAATTACACTACTAATCTTTCAGTTATGGATGACAAACAAAAAACTGGACTAATATACTTAAGTAAAATCGCGGGTTACTCCCATGAATATACTGAGAAAAGCTCTACTAGTTTCGAACCACAGAGGAGTTCCTCCTCATGACCGGTCGCGACCGCGCACACTGCTCATTTTACCCGATTTTATTTAATTTAGTGTGTCTCACGATAGCTATTATAATATACTATTGTCGTTATCTGCAATAGTCAACAAGAAGACATCAATAATTTTTAACCGACCTCAAACAACGGAGGACGAACTACATTTTGTTTGTCATTTGTAACCGATCGTAGCTCTCAAAAGGTTATTAATTCCATATAATTTGGCGAAACTAGGTCCTCACTAGACTTTTGACTTAAATCAATTTCTTGTTCAAAGTCTCTCGTCATTCATTAACAGTCCATGACCGTCCAATGTTGGACTATACGTGTCTTCTTCATAAAAATCTACCATTATACCAACTGCTAATAGATCTTTTGAAACCTGATTATAGTAATGTTTCTTATTCCCTTTGCGATAAGAACTATAATTACTTGTCTGTTTCTCTTATGTATTACTTAGTTTATAATGTAATAATCGCGTGACTGAACTACGATACGTTTTCAAAATAATAAATTATTTTGTAATCCTTCTTTGGTGCCTTTTTCTATTATTGTTTTCATATATATTTTGTCTTTATTTCATTATTTTATTAAGTTTTTTGTATCTTTGAAACTATTTTAATCTTTACACCGATTTGTTAAAGTATTTTGAGATTTGTACAAAAGCATTAGATGTCAATTTCGTTCCACTCAATGCTGGTACACCAATTTGTAATAGAACACGGTACATATAATGTTAAAGGACTATGAGACGATGTATTTTATAGTTATATGCACATGGCAGCAAAGAAACCGAACCGCGAGCGTTTATTTTCCATTTTAACAAACCCCGTGTAACTTAAAACAATATTCCAATTATATAAGAACTCTCATTTTAAAGGTAACTAAATTGCTAATTAATAAAACCCTTGTATCAGAAAATAATCATCAAGAAGTGAAAAAGAAAAATTCGCCCGTGGAAATGTTCTTTTGCTCCCAAGTGTAATATACCAGTTATTAAGGCTAAATGTAATTATAAAGGTAGACAATAGCAATCAAATAAATGCAATACACATAATAATCTACACACGGTAACTTCTCTTATAAAAATGCAATGTTATCTTCAGTATTAAATCTTGCATTTTGCAATAATTATGTACAAATATGAACATTTTAATTGATATTCTCACTCGCAGTGCCTCTAATATGCAAACAAATATATATTTATTAAACAAAATAATTGTATATTGTGTAAAAGCAAAGAAAATATACGTTCAAACGAACATTGTGAATTGGTTGTGGAATTTACGACTTTAAATTGCATTCTATAAGGTCGAATTTTCTTTGATTCGTATTGTATGATAAGCTTGTACGTAGCGTGGTTATTGTGTCGCCTTTCGCTGATCTCTAAAACGTACTAAGATTCGGTTGGAGAATTTGTAAATAGAACCTTAAGGTCACATGTATAAAGTTCGAGATGAATTGTATTGTAGTACTCGCTTTGGCTGATTCATCATTGTATACATATATTTTTGTCTCGAATTATCATCTATGTAAAGTTTAAAATGCAATCGAGGACATTTCTCTGTACTGTTATGCAACACAATCAATGTTTACCGAATTATTTAATATACAGCTGTCTTTATCTCTCTTTACAATATTCATACGAGAGAAAAGGATGGCATGCTTTCTTTATACTTTTATGTGACAAATGTAAGCTGTTCGTTATTAAGAAATTGTAATTATTGTTTTAGTTTAGTCCCAGCATTCTATGTTGGTAATATTTTAAGCTTTAATTTGCATTATTATGGTTGACGCACTTTCAATGCATGTACGTGTTAAGAAATTCAATTACGAGTTTTCGGTTTGTGTTCACTAGATGGCGTTAAAGAGACGTAAAGTCTGATTGGTCCATTGCGGAAGTATGTAAAGTGGTTTTTCTATCCATTAGTATTGAATTAAGAGATTGAACGTCTTACTAGCGCGTCTAGTGATGCGAAGACTCACAAAGTGACGTCATTAATGTGCTTTGTTTTTTAAGATGGCTGACTTGATACCCTATAAAATGAAAATAGACCTATCTAGGCTTTTTCTAGGCCGAAATTAAAAACCAATTTCAATCCAAAATCTCGTTCGAACTCGGCTTTTGAAAATATGAAATGTCGATCACAATGGGCGGATTTTGGATTGTGAATGGTTACAAATATCGACCGTAAAAATATAATAATAAGGTATACAACCAGTTGCAAAGTTTTATTGTGTCGTAAGGTAATTAAATTCTAGCAATAGCCGTTGCCTTGGAAATTGTTTAGTTATAGCGTTACACCAGTTAGATCTATATTAAAGTTGAGATTGTATCCAAGCAAGGATTGAACACAAAGCAATGTACCTCTTTTTGTATGCGTAGTTAATTTCAGAAACTAATAAAGAAATAATATATACCAATGTCTTTAATTTTAATAATTAAAGAATGCCTCGTTCGCCGCGTGGTCGCAAGTGCGACTGCCGGGCAAGGGGTCTCGGGTTCGATTCCCGGGTTGGGCAAAGTACTATTGGGTTTTTAAAAATTCTCAGTAGTAGCACGGAGTCTGGAATTGTGCCCGGTTTATGGCAATAGGCTCACCCTCTATTACATGGGACTCATAAATAGTGAAAAGTGGGTGTTACATTGTACAGTGGTATTAAGTGCCGTAATGTGCACCTCTGCCTACTCCTTCGGGGATAAATGGCGTAATATTATTTATGTCTTTAATTTCAAACCAAATACTTTCACGCCATTTAATATTAAGAAGCTTTCAAGGTATAGTTTTGTAATTATACATTCTTTAAGGTAAAATTACAGAGACTAAACGTTGACTTAAAATTTATTGAAGTTTGAGTATTTCAGCGATAGTGATACTATTTGCTCGATTAAAATTGTTGTTAGTTTCCTACAGAGGAAGACTTTATTCTACTTAAATAATGTCATCCTCATGATTTGTCAAATTCTTATCCTCATTTCTAAGAGGAATAAAGATCGGGAAATACTGAGGGAATCTGAAAATGAAACAAATCCAATTCAGTTATCACAAAGTTTAATACTAGTATGATTCGGATTTATTATAATTTCGATTTTGTTTAAATTTGCAGTATACAATGCTAATACATTCCTAGTTAAACATTAATGATGTACTCAGTCGACTGGCAACGTACGAAATATCGTACAGGAGCCGTAGTCAACACTGTTACCGTCTTAATAATAAACAATTACACGAATTCAAACGTACGAGAATAAATTATCTTTTCATTCATAAATTCAATAATTTTCCAATCAGTCTGACAGTACCATGTAACCCAATCAGGGATATAATAAAAACGCAGTCATGTTGCGGATTATGAGAGAACTATTTTCCTATATGAGATTTCATAGTGCAGATGACCAAAAACGACTACAGCGCCACAAAACGGAACGTTTTATTTCTCCGATCCGTCGGTTTCGTTACAAAATTCGAAGTATTGAGCAATAATATAAACGTTTGTGTTAAATAATATTTACATACATGTTTATAAAAACTAATTACATTGTTTAATTAACATTATTATTATTATAATATCCAACTTGTGAACTTCCTACCTATGTCTGCCTCTGTAATGGCACATTAGATTACTCCTTTCGTTGTAAGCACGCGCCGATGACGACTTGTACTCGACATATTAGCATTGTCGTAATTTTAATATTACTTTGTACCATACATAGTAGATTTTGTATTGGGATGAGCGTAGTTTCACACTTGAAAATGAACTCTTGGTCCAAAGACGCCACAATACAATATCAATCAAAATAAACATTGTTCGTACTAATACACTGATACTCACAGATTCATACAAGCTACTTAAATAATATAATTTAAACTAACAGATAATGAAATAAAACAGAGGGAAATTACAGCAGCTAACAATGATTAACTTCAATCTAATCTTACATAGACACCTATATACCTAACTAATATAATTATGTACAAATCTTTATATTGCTTACTAACTAGGTAATGAATTGAAATATGAAATTATACAATATTTATGATAATATTAAGAAAAGATCAAGGTAATCATAGTCCAAGCAGGAAAGATATACGATAAGTAGAATTAATGTACTAGTGTGTACTTAGATCCTACTGGCGCCCACCCGCGGCTTCGTACTCGCGGAATTATCTAGGAAAAGGCATCTTGCCAATGCTCAGTCCTTAAACTAGCCTCCTTCGGTTCTATAATCTGCTCAGCCAAACTAACAAACGTGATATTTTCGCATAGTAACGTAGGACATTAATTGCTCACAATTGATGTCATTTGGGGCTAGAATTTTCGTAACAACTATCTACATAATTAATTTATCAACTTTAAGAACGAATTTAGCTTTACGATTATAAATATAGTCTCTATACATGAATAATATTTAAAAGTGGTTACAAGCAATGTTATTTGGTACATTCTGTTAACGTCGAGACTGCCTACACCTACCTCTAAATAAATTCCACTCTTCATCAAATAAATAATTCAATAGTACCTGGCTACTGGACAGAGTACGAAATTGTCTAATTTTTGTTTTATTACATTTCCCAGCTATCTTTGGAAACCAATGAGCGACAATTTACAGCACAACGATATTGTGTAGGCGTCTATTGTAAGTAATGTAAGTTTTACAAAATTGTTGCAAATCTTGCATTACTGCGGGACGTCACACACTACCTAACCTTGTCACAAGTTTCAACGTCAAATAAATAGTGAGACGAT